GATTTAAGTTGTCACAGCAAAAGGCTACATGATATTTCAATTAGCAGCAAAAAAAAATCTGAATAACTAAAGCTAATAGGAAATTTAATTCCACCTTCCTATGAATAGAAGAGTAACTGGTAATCTTTAACTATGTGCTCACATAATTTAGGGGTTTTGCTTGTTTGCTTCTCACGCAATCCTCCTTCATTCAGTTTCCAGGCTGGAGGCACAGAGAGGTAGAATTTGAATTCTTCTGGCCATTTATATACATGTGGCATTTCTTGACCTTTAAGTATTTGATTTTGAAACCTATTTAACTTTTTGACGTAGGTGTTTTCGTGGGTTTTGTTGGGGAATGCAAAAAATTTTCTGCATGTAGGGGGGAAAAAAAAAATCAGTAAGAGCAACTGTATGACTGTTCTTCTGTTTTTAACCGAAGGGCTCTCCCTCTGTGTCTGTAACACCAGCCAAACTTTCTTAGTAGCACAAGCTTCTTATTCAGCTTTGTTTTGACAAAGAAAGATAAACCACTGTTTTGCTTTGCCCTTCCCCCACCATTTACTCATTAGTTTTATTTAGTTTTGTATTCCCTGCTCCTTGTAGGAAAAAACATATTTTAAAAAAATAATTATTTTTTACCATATTAAGTTGTTGACTATGTATGTTCTTATGAAGAATTTAAAATAGAATGTAATTATAAATCACTGCTAAAATGAGCTTGTCCTGCAAAGGCAAGGACATTTAGTTGTGTCCTTGTATGACTGGAATCGCTGTAAACAACTAATATTCCTATTTGCAGGGGCAGAAATAACCAGCTCATTCAGCTGTACAGAAAGGAAGACATATAAGGAAACCAAAGACTAAACCAGAATAAGCCACTGGAAAGTTTTATGTCAACAAAACTGGATTTAAATTAAGTAACATCAGTTCAGTATTTTGACTGTAAATGAATCAGAACATTAAAACATGTTTTAAAGGGAACATTTGTGATGAAACATCTATGACTAGTTCCCGTACTAAATGAATAGGAAAGTTCCTACTTATTTCTTCTGTGCAGGATCAAATCCACATAGCAAAGTTATTTCTCTAGCTTTAGCACTACTTCGTAAACCTAAATTTTGAAAACGAGAATAGCAGCAGAACTGCCAGAAAAACACTGAATAAATGACTTATCAGTTATACACAATGGAAAATACAGAACTGATGACATAGTTAGAGGCTGCATCATACCACATATGCATGAAGGAGTAAAATTAAAATTACACAGAATTTCCATTCTTATGTTTTCTAATTTTCTGAGTGCTTGACTTTACAACTTAAATCTCTTTTATGATTGTTTTTTCTGACACTGATTTGCAGAAATGTGAGTGGATTTTAACATTCGTTACTTTGCCTTACTCAGTGGCAAAAGTTTAAAAACCAAACAAACAAACCCCAAGCTCAAACCAAAGTAGTGCATTTCTGAGCTATTTGAAATGATGGGAGATGAGTCAAGAGTCACCTTGCTTTAAAATCAACAGAAACACAGCAGAGCTATTCTCCAGAGAGGAAATAAGGAAATAAACCACACATTCAACAACTACGATACACCCTTTCCAAATAAGAACAGAGAATTAATTTACCCAGTAATTTTATAACAGTGATAACAAATTAAAATTGTGGGCAGACAGCACAGAACCAAGAAGATATACAATCCATAGCAAGGATCAGCCAAATTAAAGGGAACTTTTTACATTGTCAAATTTTGACTAATTAGTATTTCCATTAGAGGCACAGTTCCAGCTTTAAGCAATTCTAAGTAATTAATGTTCCTTTATTTTGCCTAGAAGTCCTGACTTCAGCATTCTCTTAGGATACAAATTCTTCTAGCCAGAGCTACACAATACAGATTAACTCAACTAGAAGACAATTAGAGTAGGCAGATGAAGATGTGATTTGTCAGTCTGTACACGCTGTTACTTCTAGCCTCGGATGCAATTTTTGTTAACACAGCAGACTGATTTAAACAGAGGCAGGGACACGATTTTGTCCTAACTGTATCCATATGATTGCCTAAGCTCCAAGTGATGTTGAGATTTGAAAATTCTATGTGACCAAATGACAAAACAAAGTGAATGAAGTGTCAGATCATACCTCCTGTACAGCTTTGGCCAGCTACAGGAATTCAATAACTGATTATACACTTACTAATTTAAAATACATCATTCAAAATACGTGATGGAGGAAATCCTGCTATACTTATTCATCACGCAATGTAAATCCCTAAATTAAAATGCCAAGCTGAGCAGGAAGCAGAAGCTGGCCTGGTGGCTACCCTATGGAAAAGATGGAATTTGATTGCCAGAGGTGTTACTGCATTTGCACGTTGTGTTGGGTAAGCTGTCTGGGTCCTCAAAATCTTGTCTTTAAAACGGGCCTAGCAACACGTATCTCCCAAAAATGTGTTTGGTTTTGCATTTCACGGGTGTTTTGAAGATGACTTGTTTGCCAACCCGTTCAAGATTCTTTAAGAAAAGGGGCAAAGTAAAAAAGCAAAATGCAATTAAGTGTCCTCTCCTATTTGCACTACAACATCAAGTATAAGACAACACTTAAAATATTTCATATTGAGCTTTGAAACCCAAGACATATACAGTAACAACACAAAGCAGAAGTTTTACAAGCCTTTTACCCAATTTTCAGACACCACTGACCGTTGGACCATACACCAAGAGACGTGGCAGAAAACATCATACTTCACTTTCTCTATCAAACACAACCATAGCAACAATTACCTTAGTTTTTAGCTTCTGAATTTTCCATAACTGCAAGAAGCGGAGGCCAAAGACCATGTCCTTCACCCAGTAATTGGTAGCACTGAAGGGAAAGTTGGAACTGCAGCTGAGGAAGAGGAGAGCAGAGCAGGACCTCACTCGCAGAGGGCTACTACTGTACTGGTGAGAGGCTCTAGCTGTTCTTTTCTAAATGTTATTGTTCACATGGACTCCAGATTGGCAGGGCTTATATGCTTTTAATATTAATTGATATAAAAAGAAATAGGACATTCTTGATCTACAAAGCCTCTCTTATCACAGATTTGTCAACCTTTGCATATGGCCAGGTCCAAGAAAGGCAAATCTTGCCAAATCTGTTAAAATCATCAAGGGTTCACATCTTTTTGCTCGGATCTTACCTTTACAATCCTTTTTTACAAGTCTCTTCCAAAATATGGTTGCAATGTGTTTGTGCTTTTAAGCTACAAGGTATATTAAGTGCACAGTGAGGACCTACATTTTTGTGTGATAGAGAAATCAAAAGTGGCGATTTTCAAATATCTAAGGGAGAACACAAAGTCTTCTCTGACACCTAAAATGCAATCATAAAGTCACAAAAAGATACTGAAAATTTCATCCCTGAGAAATTCTTATTTTTCCTGATGGAAAGAAAAAAGTATCAGCTTCTGCTTGGAGTGATAGTAGTTTTTCTCAGCTGCATATTCTCAGACATAAAATATAAGATCCAAAGATCTTTCACTAATTCACTTAATGTCAGTATCACTTCTTTTTATTACAGACCCCTTTCACCAACTTTTGCACTGGAAGCTCAGTTTTATACAGCTTTGGGCCTCAGAAAGGCTTTGACGCTGCATGCCGCCATCCAACTGTCGCCCCATGGTGTAGGACCAGCACCTGAGCTGCTGACGAACCATCGGCAGCTCAACAGAGAGGCTGCTGCTGTATTCTGCTCACTATTATGTTAACTCCATCATAGTTATTGTGTTAGAGCAGGGCATGCTGGTCTCTAGTCTTTTTTGGCTGAAAACATCATCATCAAGAAGCGTAAGTTATTTGTTACTAGTAATATATTTCATACTTCTGAAGATCTGTAGTAATCCATGACTGTGAAGGCTGTCAAATCCACTCAAATGCTTCTTATTGAAAAATTAGGCCTGCATATCCATAGATCCTCCCCTCCTTCACCCATCCAAATTAAAGCCGTAATTCCCAAAGACAGCCACTCTTCTAAAACACTACACATTTCATATAGTTGTTATTAATAAAGTATGAACAATGTTTGCAGAAACATTAAAGAATCAGGTCAAGAAGGCTGTCTGAACACAAGTGTTATTAAATAAGCCAATCATCCAACTTCTGAGTAATTAATGTCCTTGGTTTTTACTTGAAAGCCTCATTTTCAGCACGTTCATAGGAGACAAATGTCCCACGTCAAAGTGACTGAACACAAAATAACTCTTTTGGACTCCAATTACACGAGAAAGATGAAAATGCAATATTGGCAGATATAGATACAAAATGTTGGAGCACTGCACTTCTCATCGTAGGGTAAGTTCAGGTACAACTAGATGATCTCCTACATATGGTCAAAGGATTTGATCTGTTCCCATCTGTGCATTATCTGAATATCTAAACAATTGCCATAAAGCATTTGAAAACTTTAAAATATAAAAGGAAAACTAACAAAGCTGATGGTATCTCCAGATCACCGCGTGAAGTACTAATAAGCAACTGTGTTATACAACCCATGTTCAACAGACTGAAAACGATCTTTCCCAAATCCAAACGACATATTTCTAAAGCTGAAAGTGATAGATTACAGCTGGCTGAGCAAGCACTGTAGTGAATGCTCATTTTAAAAGCTGCCATTGTAAAAGACCCTCCAGGCTTTTTCTTGGTTCCTTTGCTCTTCTTATTAAGAACTGTGAAGCTCCTCTTATTTAACAGTAATTACATGGGGAGGTGGAGAAAAACTAACAAGAAAGAGAGATTTGTTTTTCTAAAGATATGCAGTTAAGATTACTTTTAATCAAAACAGCATGTCTATGGAACAAATACGGTATTTTTATTTCATCACCTCAAAACATGATAAATATTTGCAATTGGAAACAATTATAAGTACAAAATCTGAAAATTTAATATTAGGATTCTATTAGAAAATACGTCTTTACAACTAATTTAGTCTCTGTATACGACATCCTATCCTTCTCTCCACCAGACAACCATTAAGACGGAAAAATACCCTCAAGACAGCAGTTGCAGAACTTGTCGTATGCGCTCGCACTTCTCCAGCAGGTTTGGGTCTTGTGCATCAGAACCATCAAATTCCTTCATAAAAGCTTCAGCTTTCTGCACAGTTATGTCTCGCGCACCGCCTTGAAGGCCTTGCAGATAATCCAGTAGAATGGTGAAATACTTGTCTGGAACCTTTAAAGAAAAAAACAAGGAAGAAAAAAAAACCTGCTTTATTTTCTTCTCTCTCAATACTCATTCACAATCATGTCAAATCATCACCTGAAAGATAATTAGGAGAACTGCATGGGCTTTTGTGTTTGCCAATGCCCACCTCTGAGTGGAAATGTTTCTTGCCAAGGTTCAAGCTGCCGGGAGGGATGGACCATGGTGAGAGGACTGTCATGTGCTCAGATGGGCAAAGCATCTGAAAGGAAATTCTAAGCAGATGTGGAAATGCTGATCAGCAAATGCAAACACTCCCTGACAGTAAGCTCAAGGCTGTGAGGGTTGTTGGAAGGAAAAAAAAAACCACTAGCCAAATCCTACTTTTGGAAACATGTATGCAAACCTTACTAAATTCGGTGAGAATTGCATGCACGTGTCTGAGGAAAGAATTTTGCCGGAATTACCCTCGCCCCTACCCAAAATTATTTGTTTGCTACAATGAGATACCACCCACCATCAAGCACTTTGACAGAATGCTTATACAAAGGAATAGAATTTAATTTGAAAAACAAATTGAATTCAGACATATGGAAATAATTTTTAAATCATGCTGACTAAAACTGATAGGCTCTACCAGCATGTCTAACATTAAAAGCAGTTTAGTCATCTACAGTTGCATTACCCCCATTTCACTCCCTTTCTAATTAACTAGTCATAGGTTAAATTTTAGCTTATCTGATACAACATACAATTTAAAAGATTATTACATTAAATAATCTTGGCAATAACCTAGCACAGACTTTTGAATTATTTATTCAGTATTTCAAACCAACGTATTTTCAAAAGTATTAGGTGAACCGATCTACGTTGAAGCGTATCTTAACTTTATGTTGTGTATCTGTGGAACAGGTTTCAGCCAATAAGAGAATATTTTTGCTGCAAAATCAGGAGATGTTAAAATGACCTAATCCTGCAAATATTTTTCTCCATGTTTAACTTTACACATCTAACTTTAAAAGGCATACTTGACATGAGTCAAGTTAAACACATACGTAAGTATTTAAAGGATTGGAGACTAATTATTCGAGGGCTGTTTCAATTCTGCAAAGTATCAACATTTCAGAGAAGACAGAGCTTCAACAGATACTTAATTTACAACTTACTTCTCCATCGACATTTGGCAGCATAACTTTGATCACTAAAACTTCTATCACTCCAAAAGAAGAGGAAGAAAGAATATTCCAACACTGCCTTCATCAATCAGGGATATTACAAAGTAATAAATCAAAACTAAAGTCTGCATTCAGCCTCATAACTTATACACTACAGAAAACCTTCTAATTCTTCACACAAACACTCTTGTATTAAAGAAACAATACAGATACAAAAAAAATATTAATTTTACAGTGACTAACACTGAAATGGATGATACATGAAGTGTTGCTATAATATACAAATCAAACACTTTTAAACATAATAATAAATGTCTGTATTTTTGAAACCTTTTTACTCACAGTAAACTGGTACTAATAACAGACAAAAACATCCAGACACACACAATTTCAGCATGTTAGTGCTCCTTTAATGCAGATACTCAGTACCAGGTTTTTAAAGCTCAGCAACATTTCTATGTTTCAAACCTTAGCCAAATTATCTACATAATTTACACCTCTTCTCAGGCCTCCTGGTATAGTCATACTCTGTGGAATTACAGTTATTATTATGTCATTTAAGCAAAGTGCTTGAAGGGGCAATTAAAAGCCTACTCTAAACTTAGAAATACTAAGTGTGCAGACAGACATGTGGCTGCCTGAAGCCTAGAAAACATTCAGCATTTGGCCCTAACGATAACTGCTCGAGTGTGCAAAAAGTCTGATTTTTTCTTTAACACAGCTATTAGGTTTATTTCAGCAAGAGCTTACCAATACAGTACCATGTAGGCAAGATAATATCGTATTTTTTCCTCCTAACTTACACATATAATGGAGCCATAGGGACGACTAGACAACGGAACATAGAAAGTGCCAGCAAAAAGTTAATTAAATCCCAATTTTAATTCTTAAAATACAGTAGCACTGTATTTTGCGTGAGAGCTGAATTTCAGAGACTCTTGGCAAGGTTGTACAAGAAGGAACACGATCCTTCCCTAAGATCAGCTTTTTTGGTCAGGCTTGAAATTGGATATCAAGATCTCCCACCACGACTCTGGCAAGTGAAGTGATGCTTATGGGATTTTATTATTATTCTTTTCTTAAACTGTTTTGACCTTTTTCTTGTTTCTTTTTCTCTCTCACACACCAACCTTGCCTCTGTTCTAACTAGCTAATATGCACTGGAGCTGACTAATATGGAAATATCCCAAAGTGAAATAATTACTGTCATCAGGAAAAGGGGGGAAACACTACAAAAAAGTAGCAGGAAAAGACAGTTATCATTTTTAAATTATACTACGTAAGTCAAAGAGTTTCCAGACTTTTTAGACTTGCAGATGCCCATAAATTTACATAGCAAATACGGCTATCTGCAGACTGATTTTCAGCTTACTGCCACCAAGCTTGCTTTTCTTAGTTACCTTCTGAGGAAGCTTCAGAAACCCCTCCAGGGCCTTGCAGTCCAGAAGCTGAAGACAGCTGATACAGAGTTACTTTCTAAAAATGCTATGCCAGATGACAAAGATCAACAAATGATCTAGTGTTTATTTTATACTGGATCCTGAAGAAGTATATACACTGTAGGTATACAGGCTTGGGTTGGAAGCTGTCAGCCAACCACCAAATGGATTTTAAAGGGACTTAAAAAAAACTCATGTTGCAAAAGACACTAAAACCTCAGCTTATTTCTTACAGAAAGAGACCTATCAGTACAGGAAACTCAATTCACTCCTTTGCATGGCTTTTCAGTAGGCATCCAAATGACAACATGAGATCAAAGATGTGGCTTAGAAAGGAAAGAAACTCATGTCTCCTTTTGTATTTTAGTCATGCTTGAATATCGAACAGATTTTATTCTGTAATCGACAGGAAGCTGGATTTGGGTATAAAAAAAAAAAAATATTCAAAAGAAGCTGGTCTGCCCTTCCTACAGTCCTGATGAAGAAAAAGACTTCGTCACATGCTTAATTATAAGCACTTGAGCAGTTCTAACTTTACTGAGTCTGGATGCAGATGTTAATCATTATCTAAAGCTCATATTCAATGCACCTCTCATTATTAAACAGTACAAAATATGTGCATTTAAATAAATCATCGCACTTTCAATAGATTTAAAAAAAAAACTAGAAAGGAAGTTTCATTTCAATGTTGAGAAATAAGCAGTTAAGCTGTGTTTTGATACATAAAACAAACACTACTTACAGTTAATTATTTCCCAGTTATTTCAACACAAAATCCAAAGTAAACAGGTAAAAAAGTAAAAACATCACTCTGCCTGTGAAACAATTTCTAGGTAGCTTTAAAGAGTGCACATTGATATTGAAAGGTTGATAAAGACTTTCAAAGGATAAACTTAAAAATAGAAGACAACGCAAACAACCTAGATACCTACAATTAAATTTGTATTCTGCGACTAATCTTTTTAAAGTATTACACTGTGTGAACATTTTTGCCTTCATGAAACTCAGCTTTTAATTATCTGGTTCTCTAAAATATTTTTAATCATAAAGGTAATACCCTATGTCAGGTGATTGGCTTAAGAGCTGCTGAATAATTTGGGTCAGGAACATTGGTATGCTTAAATGTTTAAGTGCACACAAAAAATCAGCAAAAACTAACTGAATGTCAATTAAATGAATAAGTTAGATACTGTGCAAATGGCTAGATGTTTGTTCTATTACACAACAAAATGAATGACCTGAAACCCTCCATTCAACACCACGATGGTCAGATGCTTATTGGGAATTCAATCTATGTTGTTTTTTAAGTTATGAAATGAATGGATTTCAGTACTGATGCAAACCTAGCTTCTGGTTATACTTTACGCTTTTTACAATCAACATCAGGTTTCACTTACATTTTAATGAGAAAGCTATTTTAACATCTTGGCAATATGGCTGTACATCTTATATGGAGCCAGAGATATCTGAAGCAATATGAGAATCGTGGGTTACAGTATTGGGTTCCACATTCAGAAATTCAAATTAAGGATATGACTCAAATTCTCAGTAAGCTCCAGATTTATATAAAACATGAATCTGCTCTATTTATGCTTGACATATATCAAGTATAAAAATCTAGCATACACAGAGAATGATCACCAACAAAATAAAAAGATTAATCACAAGCAATTAAAATGATTCAGCATTTTTGTTAAAAAAAAAGTAATTTATGTATAAATTATTAAAAAATTATTAGAAAAGTGCATGGCTAGTACTAGCAACTTTTGGTTAATAAAGAATAGCTATAACTAGTGTATAAAAATTTATAGCATATTTGTTCTGAAAAAAAGCAGCGTTAATACAAACCTTCTCTTTATCATACATGTGCAAGAGAAGCCAGGTTTGTCTTGTCTTTTGAAACTTCCATTCTTCTGGATTTTCAGACCAGCTGTAATAAATTTAAAAAAAAAATTGCTTAAATGAAATACTGTGCGATCAAAACATTCATTATTCATAAAATATTTCCTACAATGACTCCAAGTGACTGGGTATGCACAACATGGAGTTTCATGACATTGTGTGAAACAGATACTAGCACACATTTTGTACGAGTGGCAAAAAAGAACACAAGGAACGGCTACCTGGCTTCCATGCAAAAAGTTAAAAGATTATAGGAAGACATTACGGCCAAGAATGTTACGACTTTTCATCAGAAAGCACTGATTCCTTGAAGTTAAAAATGAAGTCCCACTCCTCAGCTTTCACCAGTCGAAAGGTCATTGCCCTCATCTGACGCACAACAACTGAGCACCGCAAGTCCTTACCCCAGCTGCAGGGCTACCTGAGTTTCTGAGGAGGTGGAGTAGATAAGGAACCAAGTTTGGGTTTCAGAAAGCTGATATTTCACAACAAAGTGAAATTCATATGAAATTAAGCAGTCTCTAAAGGACTAGAAGGAGAAACTCGTGCTACAATGGTCACCTCAACAATGGCTGAAGCCCATCACAGATGACTGTTCTAGAGCTGAGAAAATTCATTTTTCAGGACCATGTTTTAAGGCTTGGATTTATCTAAAGATGTGACTTAAATATTGACATTTACAGGATAGAAAAATGCTTTTTAGGTCTCGCTCTCCCCAGGAATTCTGATTCCAATATTTAGCTCAAAACATCAGGCTGCTTCAATACTGTTAAAAGTGAGCAGGTAAAACAAATTATTAACATCTGCAAATGTTCTTTGACTGTTCAGCAAACACATTTTAAACATGCAAAATTTTAGCTGGATTAAAACAGCACATTTATGTACATCTTGAACATGATTTTAAAGCTGGCATATTCTGATTTAAATGAAGAAAGAGACATTTATCTGCATAAACAAATGAGCAAATTAGCAAATCTCACTATAAAATGAAGACTGCTTTTTAAAAGTATGTGCTTGAAAAGTAGTATCTTAGCGTGTACAAAATTTGTCAGTGGACTGAAATATCATTTAAAGATCCAGAAGAAAATATATGAGGAGAAAAACCAGAAAATTTTACACTTATTTGATTTTTCTCTAAAGAAAAACAAGTCTCCAGAGAGTAGCATGCAAGATGTCTTTAATGTTCCAGCTTGTTTTACACAGCAACAGAGAGCACAGAAATCAATTGAAAAGCCAGCTGGGTATGAGAATTAGTATTGTTTAAACACTGTCAAGTCTAATAAAGAAAAAGAGTCCTCATATTCGGTGAATGCTGCACCAGCAAATATATTATTCAGTCAATTCAACGAAATAGAGAAAACCAAGACCACAAATTTGTACAGAAGGGTTTCATGCAAGCTTCTGCAGAAAACCCAAAAGAAAAAAATTGTTGTCTTGACTTTCAAATTTAGGATGAAGAAAAAGCAGCAACAACTCATTAGGGTTATCACTAGCTAAATTCAATAAAAATGTCTGTAACTAACATATAAGGTAAAAATCAGAAAAATAACAGTAAAGCAGGAAGGACAGACAAAACACTAATAACCACAATATATAATATTTTACATGCTCAAAATTAAATCAACAAATGAACTGATTTAGAGGGCTCTTTTGGGACATTGTCAATAAATAGACAAAAGTTTGCAGAACACATACTGCACAAGAGCAGGAGCCCAAAAGCTGACTGCCAAAAGTTATAGAATCAAATTAAAAAAATATTATTATGGGGAAACCATCCTTCTCCCATCATCACCAACCTAGAAACCAAAGTACCTGAATATAAAGATCATTCAACCCTTGGTGTCACTTGCCTTCACAGCAAGGTGCTCAACAGGACGGCAACTGTCAGAACTACACCACCTGTGATGCAAGGAGCCACAGTGAATAAAGTAAAAAAAGGCTTTTCTTGTGGGTGTAGTTTGTGGGGCCAGCTACTTGCCCATTTGTACCCAATTTCTCTGTTTGCTAGACAAACACAGTAGCTCCTAACTGAGAAACTGGAACTTCTGCAGGAAATGACTTAACTTCTACTAGTCCTTTAGGAAAAAAAAAAAAAAAAGATGACAGTACGGTGCTTGCTGTTAAAAGAAACCCATTCTTTTATGAAGTTCATCCTTCTGAATAATTACATGGAAGATGTTAGAGGAAATGCTGTGTATTTGCACAGCACGAAGAAGAAGGTAATTTTAAAATTCTTTTTTACGTTAAATAAGCCTGGAAACAGTTTACGTTATAATCTTTGCAAGGTGACAAGAACAAGCTGAATGACAGATCTGTGACCGCATCCTGTGAAAACAGTCCCTCTTCTAATGAAAACCTTTAACACATGTTTTTATTTCTTTAAACTATACTATGTATTTATACATTTGCGATTATATTCATTGGTTAGACACACCACATAGTACTCTGAATATTTTATTCTCTGCTAATTTTATGTTTCTGTCGCTCACACTATCACCTGAGTACTGTTAGGCATTAACCTGAAAAACACTGCCTGATTTCACTAATCTCCTATAAAGCTATAAGATGTTAAAATATCTTTATTACCTAGTTTATAAACAACTGAGACCAACAAATGAGTGCACTATAAGGTTAATTGCTCTTATTAGCCTATTACCAAAACCATATGCTCTCTTCTACACGTTAAGGCAAGCCATTATACTCCTGCATCTAAGATCCCACATTGCCTTTCACTCTAGTGAATTCTCTTGTAGAAACAAACAAAAGTTTCAGCTAGTCTTCCTGAAAGGTTTCACTCAATATACACCATAATAATTCATATAAACTACAAAGACTTTAACATAATCAACCACAGAAAGTACGTTCATGCCCTTTATAGCACCGGAGCCTCACAAACCATTTCTTTTGGTTTGCACTCTGTCCCATTAGAATCAATGCGAAATGAGTATGGTAAAAAAAGTATTTTCCTTAATAGACTATGGGTGTACTCATATTTTCAGAAAATGCTCCCAAGTTTTTAACTGGTACTCTATCCATGGTTGCATCAATTCCTGCTTCTCCCCCTTCAGGAAAATCGTCCTTCTCTTGACCTTAATTCCTATCAAACTGTGGGCAACACACTCTTGATAACGGATGCGCAATCTTTATGACAGATAACGTGGCAGTTGCTCCCTGTAATTGGACCCCCCCAACAGTTATAAAAATAAAACTTTTCCACTGATTCCTATGATGGCTTTTTTCCTACTCCTGTGACAGCTTTAAAACCTACGGAAAGTATCACTCCATGACAAAGTGAGAAGGGTATCTCCTTTTATCAGAATGACATAATTAGTACATTTTTAGAAATGCTCAACTTTTAAACTACAAAAGTTAAAGCTTTGTAACACGAGAGGTCTCATTTTGCTGTTTATATGCAGATAAGCTTCCTTGACATACTACAGCAGTAGAAAAAGCTTTTCGTTTGAGTGATTAAATATACAGAGTAAGACCAACTACATTATAGTTTAAAAAAACTTTTTATAGACAATCACAACCTCTTTCACAGTTTGAATTAATTTGGTAGCCCTTAGGAGTATCTATGTCCAGATCTAGTATAAACTATGGAATTGGATGAAAAATATACAGGTATAAAACATGTATTTTTCCAGTACGCCTAGAGCTGATTTTCAATATATTGTACAAACACTAATTGCCTTCTTTACACAGTTAATGTTTGAATCTTTCTTATGAGCTCTAGCTCATTGAAAAAACACATTGGTTGACTTTAGTTAAAGAGAACTTTTATGTTTGTGCAAATGATCTTCCTAAATGCCTTTGAAATTGAAGATGCAGAGGAAATGAATCAAATTAATCAAGCGGCTTAGGGAGTTTTACATTTGGGCTTCTGGTTTTTAGCATGAGAGTCTGATGTAGAAAAGCTGCCCAAGATTCTCACTGGTCTATCTCATAAATGACTTCTAGTCTCTACATTAAAGTAATTTCACACAAATCTATTTCCAAAACATGGCTGAGTTGTACCTTCCCAGCTGCTCATCGCAGATGTAATTTGCCTTTAAAATGCTTAACCACGTCCTTTCTCAACACTGTGACAGAAAATAGGACATTTTCTGACTATGGGCAGCATAAGTAGGCAAACAGAAGACAACTGTAGCACGCAGGACAGAGCACTCTCTGGGATGTCCTAGCAGAAAGAGAAGGGAAAGGGAAAGTAGTCAAATTGCTTCCAGAAACACAGTAAGAGAAAAACATTATTGTTACTAATTGGATTCAGGAAGACAACACAATGCATCTGCTTAGACTACTGCCCAGGACAAAACACTACGAAGCTGTCACAATTACTAAATAATCTCCTATGTGTAGAAAAGCATTATGCTGAGAACCAACCATTTTATTCATTCAACTGAAAAGATTATTGGGTAGGAGACAAGTCTTAAGAAACCAGGAATAAATAAAGACATGTCACTGCTGATAAGCTTCCAGAAGACAGGACAGCACTGCTGCATGTGAAATGCAAGGGCATCTGCACGTAACTTTGGGCCACGGACAGTCTAGCCCACCTCTGATACACCTTCCAGCTTGGATATCTATCCATGGTAAAGCAGACTGTCACCAAATTTAGATTTCTCCAGCATACAGCCCAGGCTTAGCATCAGGGAACTAAACTGAAAGGTTTCTCCAGCCCTGAGGACAGATCAACGTGGAGCCTCCTCTTGCTCTCCTGTGATTTACCGATGAGGACCCTTCTGTCTTGCTCTCTCGAGCTTCACTGAATCAGATGTGGTTGATTACACCATATTCAAGGCTACACTGGAAAGATCTATTCCAAACTTTAAAAGCAGTGTACTGCCAACACTATACAGAAATTGTCGCATTATTCTCACCCAGTTTATCTGGGTACTTTTCTGTTTTGATACACTGGGTTATTCATCACCCTGAAACCTGTCTTTAAGGATCATCTATGTTCTTCTACACACCCCACACGGAAGGCTGAACAGAAGTTACGGCACACGATTAAGGCTTGTAGGAATCAAGTTAAGCACTTTATTCCCCCAGCCCTCTGTAAACAGTGCAAAAGGTATCATTTCGGCACTCATTGCCCTATCCATAAAATGCGGATAACAGGTGCTTCCTCAATAAAGAAAACCATACTCTAAAAAATTCCCTTAAAGATATTTAAAGCCTTGCTGAAACATTTGGCACTCAAGTGATTTGCTGTAATAATTCACAATGCAATACATACAACAGCAGCAACTTTAAAATACCATGCACTTAGGTTTAAGGCAAGCTCACTGCCCTTGTAAGGCCCGAATTTGGAAACTCTGAATACTGTTATCGGTGAGTGTAACGCTACATATGGCCAA